AAGGAAGGAAGGAAGGAAGGAAGGAAGGAAGGAAGGAAGGAAGGAAGAAAAGAAATGGTTCTGTAAGAGAGGGCACTCAGGCAGGAGGGAAAAGCTCTTGGGGCACTGGGTAGCCAGTGTGGCCTACATAGAAGGCTTTGGGACAAAGGTCCAGGGGAAAGGCTTTAGAGAGACCAAGAGAGTTCTCCAGGTGAATGGACAGAGACAAGGCCAGCATCCTCATCCTCAAGAGGATGTCTACCATCTGTGGGGCCCATACTAGCCCCGAGGGAAGTACCCAGACCAGAGAGAGGACCCACAGCAGTATGAGTCAGTGTCTATCACCAGAAAAGACAGAGGGACACAAGCAAGCCTGGTATCAGTTAAAGGGCCCTGAAGAGAGCAGAACACAAGCCGAGGGCTGTGGGCTTGCCGGTTGGTTTGGCTTTTCTCTATGAGCCTCTCTGGGATGTGAGATTCACTTCCTAGCTTTGAGTTGGGGGGTCTATCCGTGGATCAGAAGCCAGCTGAGCCCAGCGTCAGGCTTCTGGCTGTATCTCTCCTCACCCAGAGAAGCGACAGTACCCAGAGCAGCAAGAGGGCTACTCACAGTGGCTCCCATTCCTCTCCTGAACACGTTAAGAGCCCCTCACCTTTCGCTCTTCAGTAAGTTAGTACCTGTAGTTATGTCCTACTTCGCTGGGAAATCTGTTTCCCCCACTATAAAAGAAACATAGAGCAACCACAGTCCAGGGCTGTAAGACACCCCAGAGGAAGAGCTTCACATGCTCTGAGGGCCTGTGTCAGCCTCTAGCCTTGACCCTTGGCTGGGCACAGTGCCTTGCAGACCCTCCCTGGCCGGCCCACCGTACCCCACAGCCAGCGGCACTCCTCCATTCCACATTGTAAATGCCACATTTATTTGTTGGAGGTTCCAGGCCTCTAGTAAACACAGAACAGCAGGGCTCTCCTACATGCTGCCCTGAGCCCAGCTCCTCAAACATGCAGGACAGAGCTGGTGGATAAGGCCCAGTGACTTCAGGAGCAGACCCACAAGACCCATTGCTCTATCCCACGCCCTCCCCACCTAGCCAGTTCTGGCCTGCCGATAGGAAGGCGGGGTCACCTGGATCCACTGCAGTAACCCCTTCTTGGAGGCTACCCTCCCTCGACTTCCCTTCTGCTTATCTCCCCGAATGTCAGAGCCATAATCCATGTGCTTCGGTCCTTCACATGGCCGCCATTCAGGCTGCTTCTGTGCTTCCTGTCTCTCCAGTCAGGTTATCAGCTGGGTAGGGCAGACCAGGCTCTCTGACTTCACTCTGTAGCAACTCAGGACTAAGCATTTGTTGAGGGGATTGAACGAGCAAAGGCCTGTCCAGAGAACTACCACAGGCTAAGGTGCAGGACACCTGACTCAGCTCTGACCAGCTGCAGATGACTCCCAACCTCCCAGGTTCCTCGTTGGGCCTGAAACATCTTTGGGCCTCAGTTATCCAAGACCCAAACCAATGCCTTCTATTCTGAGAGGCTTCTCTGGCTTGGCACCAGGTTCAGAGCTAGGTGTCGGATGGATAACCAACATGGCTACTTCAAGGCCTTGAGGACAGCCTCCAGCTTCATGACCACGGCCAGGTCACCCTTCACCTTCAGCCGCCCACTCATGTAGGCCCCCAAGGGCCGAAGTTCCTTGCACAACAAGGCCTGTAGGTCTGCCTCACTCATCTCCACCACCACGTCAGGGATGCCATCGGGTACTCCGTAGCCCACTCTGCCTTGTCCTGTTGGGAGGTACCATTACATCAGTAGGAGGATGCTACGTGGGGAGGGGAGGGTAGCACATCCCACTAACAGTAGCAAGCGCTGGCTAGTTCAAGGTCTACGGTAGAGGTGGGCCGGGTTCTAACACAGTGGCTTTAAGCCTAACTGACTGCGACTGCTTGTTGCTTCTGTTTGCACATTTATGAATGACGAAGATAGTAGTCCTGCCTCACAGGTTCACAGTAACAAGTAGGTTGAGTGCTCAGGGCAGAGCCCAGCGTGTGACAGGCCCTGCTATATATGAGGGCTCCTGGTTATTGAACTGAGCTGTCCTGCTGATCCCAGGGAGACCAGAGCCCTGGTTGTCATTATCATTCCAAACAGCTGTCAGGAGCAGGGGACAGTCTTCAAAAGACCACGGAGGAGGGCACAAACAACCTGAGTAGAAAGGTAGACAGAGAGGACAGCCATACCTGTAGTAAGGTCCAGGAAGTAGATACTCTGGGTGCCACTGGGCAAGATGACGTTGAACTGGTAGCAGGCCCCGACCTGGCTGACCAGTGCCTCTGACAGGAAGGGTTGCAGGGCATTGAGGAGCCCCTCAGCCACTGGCTGCTTCGGATTGGGCTCAGCCCCAGCCCCAGCATGAGAGGCAGGTGGTTCCACTTCATTTATCATTTCCAAGGTATCTACACAGGAGACCAACAGGGTTGAGGAGGGTGACAGAGAACAGGTCAGTGCTCTGCGAAGGTCGGGATCCCTTTGTGAAGTTTCTTCTCACGGCCCTTCATCCTCTGTGAAATGGCTTCCTCTCCTAAGAAGCTGTCTCTTGATTCCCAGCAAAAAGCCCAAACCCATGTGTTTGAGCTACTCTGGCCTGGAACACACAGCCCTCCTTCCAGCTACTCTTGTAGAACTGTGGCTTCTTCTCACAGAGGCTACCTAGGGCCTCTGCACACTTGGTCTCTTCCCTAAGCCCTCACTCTGTTCAGCTCTAGATAAGGGATAGACTGTATCAGCTAAGCCATAGGGACTAAAAGAGAAGAGCATGCTACACTCCTTACCTGACCCTGGGGACGGAACACGTCCTACCACTGAGTTCATACTTCCCCCTAGCAAGTGGAGGGCCAGCTGTTGGAGGGTGCTGTCCAGGCTGGGCACAGCTAGGCTGTCTTGGGGTGGCTGTAGCACAGCCTCTACTGCCAGCTCCACACGGTCTACCTCCAGTCCCCAAGCTCTGGTCACGTCATTGATCTCCAGCTGAGGGGAGTGAGGGAAGAGGGAAGAGTCATTTGATAAGCCCCACCCCCCACCCCAACATCTTCTCTGGACAACTCACGGTAGTCACACACGGACACGGAGGTCCCATGTCCATGCTGGAGAAGATCCCAGCTGGAAATTCAGTAAGAAGCACCAACCATTTGGCTGGCAAGTGCAGGGTCAGGGCAGGAGGTAGGAACTCCAGGTAGAAGTAAGTGGAACCTTCTCAGCAAACCCCAGACTGTAGGCTCTAGAATGTTCCACTTGGATTCTCAAGTATGGATTGGGGCACTGGTGAGAACTGAGGGTTCAGGTAGCCTCTTTCTGCTCAATTGGGTTTTTTCCAAGACAACAAGGGACCCCAGAGGAGAGTATATAAACATGGTGGTGACCAACCAAGCAGACTCCCTTTTGGAAGAGAGAGCTTCCTGGCTGTTGGGTAGACACTGTGTTGGAGAAGGTTGGGAGTAGAGGAATGGTTTCACAGTGCAGACAAGAAATGAGGGGGGCTGGGCAGAGGGCAGAGGGCAGAGGGCAGAGGGCAGAGGGCAGAGGCGTGTGGTGACACAGATACAGCAAGGGAGGCCTGCCTTGAAAACTCTTGTAAAAGTCACAGGAGAAGGGAACAGGCTGTGCCGTGGGTATGCATGGCACAGGGGTGGAGGAAGGCAGGCTCCTGGCATGGGCTCCTAGGGTCATGATGATGGCATTCACCTAGAGAGGACACACAGGGGTGGACAGGGGAGGGGAACGGCTATTTTAAAACTGTCGGTTTAGAAAAGATGATTTACTAAGTTTCCAAAGGGTAAAGGGGAGCGGGGTACACCAGCATCAGACTAGAGCAGTATTGCTGTGAGCCCTCGAGTGAACTCTCCTGAGGCAGGGGATTGTCAAAAATGAGAAGGCCAATGACAGAAACCTGGACACTGGAGGGCAGGAGACAAAGCAGGGTTGGAGGGAAGGGGCAGAGAGATCCAAAGTAGAATGTGGCTACTAGAGGAAGGAAGGGAGGGGCTGAGAAACAGCCACTGCTCAGACCAGACGGGGGTCACTGTGGTGACAGCAGAGCTACCTCATCATAAGCCTGGAGAGAGAGGAACAGAACCTTCTGGAAGTTAGGGGAGAAGGGGAGAGAGCTTGATGGAGGAGGTAAAGAGACTCCTTGGGATCCCTGGGGGAGGTGGACCAGCAGGGCAGTGCCAGCACAGGGAAGAGCCCTGGGGGGGGGGCAGGGAAGCAGGAAGCACAGTTGAACTGAGATGCAGAGGCTGTGAAGGCTCTGCCTGGAGTCTCTTCTGACAGTGAAGAGGCAAGGTAGAGCACAGAGCAAGGGCTGGGCGCCTGCAGGGGAGCAGTGGGGGGCCCCAAAAGCTGTGGGTCAGAATGCAACTGGGGAGGAAGAGGGGAAGTGGCAGCTAGGGAGGGAGTGGGAAGGGACAGGGACGTGGAGAATACTCAAGCCCTGAGAATACAGAATAGAATACAGCTCCTGAGATTTCCTTTCCGCTCTACTGTAACGGGAGCCAACTCATCCTGGCAACCGACCCTAGTGACTATCACATCCTAGAGGGACTTTCTCCTCACCGACCATCTCACATCAAAGCAACACAGCTTCATTTAAGATCCATTCTATCTTCCTAAAGATGAGTTATAACGGGCTGTGCTTGTGTGAAGAGAATTTGGTAGCACCGTCTTACCTGAGCTGTACTAGCTAAACCCTGGATCATGGGTAGGAGCCGATGTTGGGCTCTGGCCCAGCGCTGTCCTTTACCACGAATGGTTCTCAGAACCAAGTGGAATAACTTCTGAGCCTCGGTCCCCCTCCTCCACTAAAATGACAAATTCGGGCCCTCTCACAATGAAAAACATTCGAAGCCGAGATGCTGCCGGGCAGGTACAGAGCCGCTGTAAGTCATAAAATGCTGGGCGTGGGGCCAGTGGGCTCAGTGGTAGAACATTTGTCTAGGATGCTCACAGCCTGGGGTTCCATCCCCAACTGGCATTGCCACAAAACAACCAAACAAAACAACCACTGTGCTATGAGGACCACTGTTAGGGCTGAACCCTGCTCTGTGGGGGTTGGGGGTCCTCACTGAAGGCGGAAAAATAAATGCTCAGCAACGCAGGAGACAAAGCAGGAGCTCTGTATGGGAAGGAAACACTACCACATGTGTAGCACACAGGAAAGACGATAAATTCCAGTGCACCTAATTTCTCGTACATAAAGCAGGGACAGGAAACAGACTCAAATGTTCCCATGTCTCTGTTCTGTTCTAAACAAGGGGGAAAAAAGCCGATAGAGCCACATGTACAGGAATACCAAGCACTTGGCTGTACGCAGAGGGCTCTGTCCCTGCCACCCATCAGAATAGAAACTGGAGGGCTCGAGGCCCTGGGCTGTGATCACAGCAGCAGTAACGGGTAAAACAAAGCAGCCAGAGGCAGCGGCCCAAGAGTTTTCACTAGAACATTCCTTCTCAGGACACGTGCTCAAAATATGAATGACAAGGCCGCCTTCTGTTCCTCGACTTAGGGTCTCGCCTAGATTCTTTTTTTTGTTAGTTTTGTTTTGTTTCTTTGAGACAGGGTTTCTCTGTGTAGCCCTGGCTGTCCTGGAACTCACTCTGTAGACCAGGCTGGCCTCAAACTCAGAAATCCGCCTGCCTCTGCCTCCCTAGTGCTGGGATTAAAGGCGTGCGCCACCACCGCCCGGCCCTCACCTAGATTCTTCTCAGGTAGTTACAGTGTTGAGATATAGTGAGCCAAGGCCCAGTGTAATCTGGTCCTCGTTCAAAGTGACCTGGCTTAGAAAGTCAGGCCCTGCTGCCAGACCGGGGGCCCTACCTTGTGAGAAGCCACCTACCAGGAGCTGGTCACCGATCTTGAGCTTCTCCATCTGGATCTCCTGCAGTGGCCTTCTGAGTAGGGCCTTGGTCATGGCGTTGTGGGCTGTCATGCGAGTGGCCGTGTTCAGGTCCTTCACAGCCATCACAGACAGCACTGGGTCCCAGATGCGGAACTGGACGTCAGCTCCCACAGACAGCACGGCCCCATCCTTAGAGGCCAGCTGTTTCAGAAGACCATGACAGAGATAACATTAAAAGGGCTGGAGGCTACTGGGAGGTGGCACCCACTGAGACTATTCACCTTGACTCACTGGCCTGGTTGCCAGCTCCTCAAGCGCAAAATGTTATCTCCAAAAAGGTGGAGTCAGGTACAGGTGAAAGCCCTGGTATGCTGACAATTCACCATGCACACGCCTCATTCGTTTTGTGCAGGGCAGCTGAGAAGCCTCTCACCTTGCAAGGAGGAACATTGAAGGCTCGGGTCCTCAGATCCACCCTCTGGAAGGAGTCAATGAAGGGCAGGAGAAGAACCATGCCAGGTCCCTGGGGGTTACGGATCCGGCCCAGTCGAAATACAATCATCCTCTCATAGGTGGGCACAATCTGGTCAGGATGGCAAAGGAAAGGGTTTGGAAATGGTTAGCCTTGACCAGCCAATGTCATTTGCCTGGTCCCCCTCTGTCCTCTGCACATCACCCAGCCAGTCAAATGCCCTTCCGTGTGTATAGTGTAGGCCAGAAGTCAACCTGGGCCACTTCCTATTTTCCTTTCTCTCCGCCATGAGGTGAAGGACTTCCTGTGGTATACCTTCACCACTGTGCTACTCTGATCAAACACACTGGATCAAGCAACCAAAGGCTGACCCTTGCGAAGCTGAGAGCCAAACCAAGCCCACCTTCTCAACTCTCTGTCACAGTGACAAGAACAATAACACACTTAGCTGGGCTCAGAGGAGAGACACGGAGCTCAGAGACAGACTCAGCAATTACACAGCCCGTCAGTGAAAGGGCCATGATCTGAAAACAGAGCTCAGTGATGGGCCATGTCTTAGTCACCACAAGTACTGACTTGATAAAAGAGACTTCACCTCTGGGGCCTGAAGCTAGGCATGACTCATTCTGGGGAACTGTTTGCTCTTGGATTAGTTGAGAAAAGGCTGGGCTGCTCTAACAAATGCCCTGAACAAACGGCTTCACCACCTTCATAGCCCTAAATCACCTTAATAAATAGTTAAGTCTAAATTAAGACCTAAAGGCCAGAGGGGCCAGGTCACACACTCGGGGTTAAAAGACATTTGCTTCAGTGGCACTGTAGAAGTAGGACCTGGGTTCATCTCAGTGCTCCCTTCTAGACCCACAAACACAGAGGCTTTCTAGAGACTTTACTGCTGAGGGCCATGCAAAGGGGAAGACCTGCCTGGGCTTCACCTACCCTGGAGCTGTCAGGTGTGTTCCTCAACTACACCTGTATCTCTCATCCTTGCCAATGAGCATCCCGATATACAAAATGAGGCCTGAGTTTGATTACTCTGTGCTGGCTGGGTACACTGGGTGCTTTCCTTTCGACAGAACCTGAGCCAAAGGGAGGATGATTTTTTTTTTTGTTTTGTTTTTTGTTTTTCGAGACAGGGTTTCTCTCTATAGCCCTGGCTGTCCTGGAACAACTCACTCTGTAGACCAGGCTGGACTCGAACTCAGAAATCCGCCTGCCTCTGCCTCCCAAGTGCCAGGATTAAAGGTGTGTACCACCACCGCCCGGCGGGAGGATGATTTTTTGCAAAGGAATACATATCTCCAGATTCTAGGACTCAGAAAACAATTTCTGTTCCTTCCTGGTTCTCAAGCTGCCTTTGGTTCTGTCTGGACTTCAGTTTATTCAGCTGAAGGATGGGAACTGCTCTCCTGTTGCTGTGAGACACACCATGATCAAAAGAAACTTGGGGGAGAAAAGAGTTTATTTGGCATCCAGGTTACAGATTACCACTGAAGGAAGAAACTAAGGCAGGAACTCAAGCAGGAAACTGGGGGCAGAAGTGAAGCAGAGACCACAGAGGAAGGATGATTAGTGCCCACCCACCCCCATCCCCCATCTGACTTGCATGTGCCCTTGCTCAGCTAGCTCAGGCCCAACCGGCTAGGGACTGCACCACAGGGGGCTGGGCCCTCCTACACTAATCAAGCAATCAATGCCTCCAAAGATGTGGCCACAGGATGAGGCAATCCCTCAGCCGAGGTTCCCTCTTCACAGGCATCATGTCAAGTGGACAACCAGAATGAGCCATCAAAAAATGTGCAACCCTCGCTTTGCCTATTTCAGAGGTGTGATGGTATTTAGAGGCAAGGGGCCCAATCTGGGAAATCCATTCATCAAAGCTTCCATTGTAACTCCCAGCTCCCCCACAGCAGCCAGGCAGCCAGCCTTACCTTCAGAGCAAACCAGCCGGAAATGGGGAAGGTGAGCAGTAGCAGCAAGAACCCCAGGAAACTGATGAGGCCATGGCAGAGACAGGACGGCCAGCTCTCGGGGGCATCTGGGGACAAAAGAGCAGAAGCAACCACAGAACACCAGCTGGGCCTGGCAGGACAACTACAAGCACAGTGTCCCAGACTACAGTGGGCAGTGTGTATGTTTTATGTGTGTTCTGACTCCCCATAGCTCGTTAGGGGTCTCCATCTTAACTAACCTGTGCAATACCCTACACAAGACTTTTCTCTCCTAGGTGAGAGCCTAAGAATACAATCCGTGGGCTTTCTCTTTGCTGGACATAGCACAAATCAACAACCCCTCTTCTAATGTGTACCGCTCACCTAAACCTGGAACAGAACACGCTGAGTGGAATGGACACTGCTGGTGTTAACACGTTAACACGTTCTACCAGCAGCCCCGCAAGTAGACTTTCAAGGGGTCCTTATAGAGAAAGCGCCTCAGCTAACAAGGATCAAATTGTCAGTAACAGTCACAGCGAGACTAAAGCGTCCCTTTCTACTTTAATCTTTATTCCCACTGTAATGCCCTGAAAAAATATTTTTAATTTGTATTTCAATTTAAGCTGCTTGGAAGGAAGATGAGGCTCAGGCCAAGGATGCTGACGACTGAAGAACTCAGAATCCTGAATGGGTGTTGAGCAAACAGGCCCAGAATCTGGGAGTGAGCCTATTATCTGCTCTCTCCTCCTCAGTCCTAGACAGGAAGGTGACAAGAAGTGTCTGTTCTATCCTTCAAGAAGCCCCTGCTTGCAGGACATTTTAAGTCATAAACTAAGTCCTGGCATCTCCAGGAAAGAAGGAATCCTTGGTCAGAGGCAATCCTAAGAACACAGGGCAGAAAATGGGGGATTCATTCAGCAATGCCAAAGCTTTCAATGCACTGTCAATACAGGAGAACCACAGAGGACCCGAATACTCCAAGGTCAGGCTTTGGAGAGAGAAAGCCAAAGTAAACAAGCCCGGCAGCTTGCAGATCTGGCTTTTTGTTCTGTGCATCTTCACAAGAGACACAAGAGACTCCTGCTCCCTTCGCTGTTACCCTAGGGTGACTCTTTTTCCATCTCTCTACAGATGCCTTGTGGGTTGTGGCTCTCCCTCTGCCTAGGGCTCTGTTTTCTTTCTAAGCATGACGGGCTACCCTGGAAATAGTAACGTGATGGGCTAAGATTCGGGAAGATGGGGCTGCGTGGCTTCCAAAGCTGCAGCTGGTGGCCCTAGGAGGACGAATCAGTAGTAGCATCCCGACGCCTTGTCTGGCACCCTCTTCATAGCCTATCCCCTTCACACTCCTTCCTCCTACAGGCAGAGAACAGGTCGGGGGTACTGACTAGCCCCTCTGTCCGCCGTGCTGGGCAGCCACTCACCGGCCCCCGGCCCCACGCCGCCCGGCTCTGGGGACAAGCAGCCCTTCTGCGAACCCAGAAAGCCGAAGCTCGACTGCTGGAAACGATCAAAATCCCCTAAAGGCAGTGCCCGGTAGCCCGACCTGCCAAGCATGACTTCTAACCGGGACACGCCCCGATCCTCCACCAAGAGCCTGCCCTGCCCAGCCCGTGGCAGCTCCGCCCCTCCTCGTCCTCACTGCTTCCGGCTTCACTTGCGCCACCAACAGTGGCTGGGTAGGATCAGGAACCAAGCCGGGTCCATGCCCGCCGCTCCACAGCACCCCCTGCGCTGGGAGGACCGAACAGCAGGCACACAGTTTGGCGGATGTGGCCTTCCTGGCCACCTCCTTCTGAGTCTCTTACCTGGCCTTAGGAAAGGAGGCGTGGAAGTTTGGCTTTAAAGGAGCATTACAAGAGCGTTTTCTCCAGAATCAGGGAAATGTTTTTGGCCTCAAATCACTCCTCCAAACTTAACACACTGAAGGATGTGCTTATCCAGATTTAGGATTTCTTCTGGTGTGGCCAGCAAATTGGCCTTTTTTTTTTGTTTGTTTGTTTCCCCACAGCCAAGAAAATAGAGCCTGTCATACAGAGTGCTGTCCCTATTTCCTTAACGGTGACCGATCCAAGTCACTGTGGACAAGTTGAAGTCAGAAGCCTGCACTTTGGTATAAAAAGTCCATTTTGGTAGAAAAATGTCACATGCAGACACTCCAGGAATCATGGTAGTGGATGACGGCGTGGTGGCGGCAGTGGTGGTGATGGCAGTGGTGGTGGTGGATATAGCACAGAGTTATAAAGCAGGAGGGCTACACAGCAGTACATCAGACTCCTTGATCCAGGCACGTGAGGTGACTTTGTCTTTCTGTGGCTTCAGGAAGCCCATATGAAGGTAAGAAATGTACTCCCAATAGGATGCTGGGAGGCTGATGGGGCCATTTTACAAAGCAAGGAAAGAATGAATCTTTCCCAGTCTTGCCTTCCCCAGGATCCCACCATAGCCCATTTCTAAGTTCCTCTGCCTATGACTGCTAGGCTGGCTAATTTGATGTCAACTTGACACAGGCTAGAGTAACCTGAAAGGAGGGAACTCCAATTGAGAAAATGCCTCCATAAGTTTGTGCTGTAGGTAAGCATTTTCCTAATTAATGATTGATGTCGGAGGGCCCATTCCACTATGGGTGGGGCCAACCCTGGGCTGCTGGTCCTGGGTTCTATAAGAAAGTAGGCTGAGCAAGCATGGGGAGGAAACCAGTAAGCAGCACTCCTCCATGGCCTCTGCTGACGCAGTAGCTCCTGCCACCAGGTTCCTGCCCTATTTGAGTTCCTGTCCTGGCTTCCCTCATTGATGGACTACTATGTGGAAGTGTAAGCAAAATAAAGCCTTTCCTCTCCAACTTGCCTTTTGGTCATAAAAACCCTAAGATGAGTTGGTATCAGGAGTGGGGCTTTAGTTAATTTCAGATGTAGACAAGTTGATAACCCAGAGCTGCCATCGCAAATCCACCCCTTGTCAACTTGACACACAATTACATCTTTTTATTAATTTCCAAGTGAAACCAATAAGCAGATCATAATAATGCCTAAACATGAGATAATTATCTGACATACAATTGCAAATACATTATATATTTAACTATGTTATAATTACACCTGTCAAGATATAACTATCCCTCATGCAACTGCAAATGTACTATAAATTTAGAATAGGTGACAATGTCCCTTGAGGGATTTTTTTTAGAATCTCAAACTTCAATATGATAATCATTGATATTCTCTCTCTCTCTCTTTTCTTTTTTCTTTTTCTTTTCTTTCTTTCTTTCTTTCTTTCTTTTTTTTTTGGTTTTTCGAGACAAGGTTTCTCTGTATAGGCCTGGCTGTCCTGGAACTCAGTCTGTAGACCAGGCTGGCATCGAACTCAGAAATCCGCCTGCCTCAGCCTCCCAAGTGCTGGGATTAAAGGCGTGTACCACCACCACCCGGCCGATATTCTCTTAATAGATGTTACATCACATTATAAAGAAATTGAGGAAAGAAAACAGAAATATTTGTACACAATATGACTGAGACAGCTGCCTGCCACATTTGACTGATCTTAGTTTGACGGCCTAATTTTAAAGGCCAAAGGTCAGCTTGGAGGTATGACATACTTTCAAGGCCTTTCGTAGTCTCTGGGATGTTGGGTTTAGCACCTCACCCCAGCTCTAAGTGTACAAAAGCAGGGACCTGTCACCATCCTTTTTAATCACATAGGAACTGAGAGTAGGATAGATTCACATAGACTGAAGTTAGAAGCCAAAGGCACTGGCCAATCAGAGTGTCTGCAGGTGTGTGTTTTCCTCACCCACTGGGTTCTGAATTGCTTTTCGTTGGCCAAAGAGCTAACTTTCTATCTCCTTTATCTCCTTGTTTCTTCACTACTGCTGGCCAGCCCCCTCCCCCCAATCTCTGCACAGTGCACATTAACCAGACCTGTTCAACACATCATCCTGTTCTGTCACCACTGTCCTTTCACTGACTCAGGTCGAACTCTGCCTCCCAAAGCCTCCTCTCATAGGCCACCTGCCTCAAGGTCATCTGAGAGACACAGCTGACATGCTGTAGCAAACCCTTCACCAACTCTCCGTCATATATAGAACTGGCCCATCACTCATGAGTAATCTCATCTCTGGTATCACTTTGCAGGAGCCCCATTTCAAATCTGAAAATGGCCCTGACGATTTCCCAAATGGGCTCTCCCGTTTCAGACCTCCACTCCTTTCCAGGTGTTTGTCTCTCTTTAAAGTGCCTGCGCCCCGGCGGTGGTGGCGCAGGCCTTTAATCCCAGCACTTGGGAGGCAGAGGCAGGCAGATTTCTGAGTTCGAGTTCAGCCTGGTCTACAGAGTGAGTTCCAGGACAGCCAGGACTACACAGAGAAACCCTGTCTCGAAAAACCAACCAACCAAACAAACAAAAAGTCTTTGGGCTGGAGAGATGGCTCAGTGGTTAAGGGCACTGACTGCTCTTCCAGAGGTCCTGAGTTCAATTCCCAGCAACCACATAGTGGCTCACAACCATCTCTAATGGGATCAGATGCCCTCTTCTGGTGTGTCTGAAATAAATAAAATAAACATATATTTTTTTAAAAAAGTGCGCAACTCTGAATCCCTGGTTATTTTCTATCTCCTGCCCCATTCTTGGCTGAGGGATGCCTTTCCAGGCAAACCCATCCCAATACTGGGTCGAAGTCTCCATTTTGGGTGATTTGGGGGACGCTCTCTCTCTCTCTCTCTCTCTTTTTTTTTGTTTTGCTTTTTCGAGACAGGGTTTCTCTGTGTAGTTCTGGCTGTCCTGGAACTCACTCTGTAGACCAGGCTGGCCTAGAACTCAGAGATCTGTCTGCCTCTGCCTCCCTAGTGCTAGGATTAAAGGCGTGTGCCACCACCGCTCGGCAGGGGGCTCTCTCAAAGAGGGTTTTATTTCTCTCCCTGGCTCTTAACTAGAAAGACACATAACTGTGAGGTGAGTTGAATAGCTCCCAGACAGGGAAATGCCTCTCTGTCGTCAGCCCTGTATCTCTCCTAGTGTGCATGCTGCGTGCGTAGTAGAAGGATCTTTCCTCGTAAAGCAGTCAAACTCGCGATCGTTCTGCTACAGAGCCATGCCAGCATGCCGGGTTTGTTTACTTGCATGATTGGTTAACCTTTCTGGCTCTACCAGAGTTGCTTCCATAGCTGCCCAGTCTTTCTCTTAACTTTAGAAGGGAGACAGCCTCTCCGCCCCTAGACCCGCCCTTAAACCCGCCCAGCCCTGTCTCACTTCCTCTCGGGAGGCGGGCGCTCCGCCGGCACCTCCCCGCTGCTCAGTTTTCTGACTCAAGCCTGGGACCCGTCTCCCGCCCTCATAGACCCAATCCAGAAATCGAAACTGAACCGGTCTCCATGCAGACGGCGCCTGCACCCCCTGGATCCCCTTGTCGACCACAGGACTCTGCCCTGACCTCCACGCCCACCATGCCTCCCCCAGAGGAACCCTCCAAAGACCAGGAACACAGCCAGAGCTCTGCGGAGGTACTACTGGGTTAGGAGATGAAGGGCTATTAGGGTTTTTTATTCGTTTACTTTGGTGGGGGAGTTGAGAATGGAGAAGGTCGTTATAGAGAAGTCAGTTAGTGTCCTAAAGAGACACTAAGGTCCTGACCCTCCGGGCTGGGCAGGGGTAGAACTGACAGCGTAAGGTAAAATAGGAACCGGGATGAGTTACGGTAGCCCTGGGGATAGTTGGGTTGTAATTCCTACTCCCCGAAGCCTTGCTTTTTATCTCCTACCTCAAATGAGAGACCACAGTCCCGGGAGAAGGCCTGGCCAGGAGTCTTGTTTGCCCTGGCCTGGAGCTAAAGGCATATCCCAGACATGACAGACTATAGCGCCCCCTCCGCCCCCCCCCCAACTCCCCCAAACACTTGATTTTTTTCAGCTGTGGTTGCACGTCCCAGGAGCAATAGCACTTGGGATGTGGGGGCTGGAGGAGAGTGATAAGTTCCAGGCCAGCCTAGTCTACAAAGAGAGTTCAAGACTGCTGAGGGCATCACAGCAAGATCTGTTTCAAAACAAAAGAAAACAAACAAAACCTGGCCCAGACCAAAGCGCCTGTTAAAACCAACATGATTCATGGAGCTTCTTTCTCTTTTGATTTTCATACGTATGAGGTTTAGGGATTTTTGTAATTTATTTTATCTTTTTGAACGCAGGGTCTCACGGTGTAGCCTTAGCTGGGCTGGAGCTCACTATGTAACAGGCTGGCCTCAGACTCGTATAGACTACCTGCCTCTGCCTTCTGAGCTCTGGGATTAATATATGAGCCACTAGGCTTGTTATTTCCTAAGGAAGCCTAGTTCATGGTCCTCTTGGAAGTATTGCCTCAACCTTCCATACTTACCCCCGAAGGAACTACCTGCACCCCGTTATTCTTTTTTTCTTTTTTTCTGTTTGTTTTTTTTCGAGACAGGGTTTCTCTGTATAGCCCGGGCTGTCCTGGAACTCAATCTGTAGACCAGGCTGGCCTCGAACTCAGAAATCCGTCTGCCTCTGCCTCCCAAGTGCTGGGATTAAAGGCGTGCGCCACCACCGCCCGGCCGAACCCCGTTATTCTTTATTCATTTTTCCCTTCACAAAAGCACAAATAAGGCCACATTGCCATAATATTTTATTATTAGCATTATATAGCTAAGGATTAAAAATTACTAGTTAACGTTTATGGGTACTTCGTATGTGCCAGGCACTGTATTGAGCTTTAAACCTTTTACAAAATAGCTCTACCTTCTATATCTATGAACTGAGTATTATTATTATTTTATATGACTGGAATTGCACAATATTTCTCTTTTTATGGCAGGCATATTTCACTTACCTTAACGTCTTGTTGTTGAATGTGTCAGAATGTCATTCCTTTTAAAGGCTGAATAATATTTCGTTACATTTGCAGACACATTTTTGTTCGTGCACTCGTGTGCTAATGGACACGTGGGTCATTGTGACTTTTGTGATGGTGTTGCTAGGCACATTAGCTTATAATTATATGCTTGGATATTTTTCCCAGTTCTTTTGAGTATATATGAAGAGTAGAAGTTCCGGTCATATGGTAGTTTAAGTGTAACTTTTTAAGAACCACCCCGCCAATTGTGTTAAGCACTTTATATGAAGTTGATACTTTTCCAAACCTGAGTCCCTTAAAGGCAAAGATGTATCCAAACTTATATCTCAGGGCCTACTAGTGAGTCTAATGGTAAGTAGATGGGGGCCGGGTAAATTGTTCAGTGAGAGCTGCAGGGCCCGAATAAATGAGGAACTGGGGTGCGGATAAGCCAGGACATGATCCAATGATTCCCTGGAATGGAATGTGAGGTCCTACCGGCTCCAGCCTCCAGCTGAAGGGATGGGCGGCCAGTGGAGGGGACAGGACTTCTGGGCTTTCTGTAGGCCTCACTTCTCTCCTTGGTTCACCAGCAAGCCATAAAGGAGGAATTTCAGTTTCTGCGCTGCTCCGGCTGCCAGGCTCAAGCCAAGTGCCCCAAACTGCTGCCTTGTCTGCACACGTTGTGCTCCGGATGCCTGGAGGCGCGCAGCCTTCAGTGCCCCGTCTGCCAGGCACCGGGCTCGGCCGGTGCTAATGCGGAGGTCCTGGATAACGTGTTCTTCGAGAGCCTGCAGCGGCGCCTGGCCGTGTTCGGGCAGATCGTGGATGCGCAGGCTGCGTGCACCCGCTGCAAAGAGTTGGCTGACTTCTGGTGTTTCGAGTGTGAACAGCTCGTGTGCAGCAAGTGCCTCGATGCACACCAGTGGTACCTCAAGCATGAGGCCCGGCCCCTGGACGAGCTCCGCGACAGCTCAGTGAGCGAATTCCTCGACAGTACCCGCAAGTCCAACATCTTCTGCTCCAATACCAACCACCGCACCCCTACGCAGACTAAGTAAGTGAAGCATCCTGGGGTCAGGGGTGAGAGCTTCAGGGAATTGTCACTCAAAATGGGGTCCGCTGGGTTGTAGTCGTTTCTAATGCCCCTCTGAAAGACATATCTGCAGAGTCAACCTTGCACCCTTACCTAGTTTGTCTTTAGGACGAAAAATTTTTAGAGTACCAATGCAAGCGATGTGCAAAACCAGGTTTTAGTACGCGTCACCACCGAACTTTAGATGTCTTAAGAGTGGACATCCCTCGGAGCCCCAGGGAATCTCAGTAAGGCTGGATGTTATTGTTGGAGCATAGTGTTTGAAAAGTTGAAACTATAGCATCGGGGAGTGCTATCTGAAAATGACTATATGCAAAGAACAAAGAAAGTCGCTGATAATTATTTTTGTCTTGTTAAACAGCATATTTTCTATTTATATAGAATATAAATGTATTTATATGTTTTCTATTTATATTTATATAGCTCACAAACAAAATTTATACTAATGAAAAGACAGTGCTATCTCCATTCCGTTCCCATCTGCTTAGTTTTCAACACTTTCCCTCCGTTTAGAGGGCGGCTGCTGTTGCTAATTTGGAAGTTTCTTTGTGAATAAAATGCAGGTCGGGTAACCTTATCAGGGCCTGTTTCCACCCTTTTAGCCAATAAGGTAGTGCATGATAAATGAACTTTTGGCCATTCAGAAGTAGACTGCTTACACTGGCACTAGTAGTTCTTGCAGAATCAATGGGACCAGAAACCATTTCCTCTCTTGGGACACTCTTTAACCTCTGCTCTCCAGGAGCTTGGGTTCTGCCGAGTCCTCCCTCCACCCCCGTCCTCTGCTGCACGTCCTGCTGGCTAATTTGCATTTCCTGGTGCACTGTTAAGATCAAATGGCTTCTCTCTCGGCCCTTGTGTTTTCCCTCCTTTGTGAATTGCCTGTTTAGTGGCCTCTTTTCTTTCCTTTGAGGAGTTCTTACCGGTCCCTCTGTAAGAATCTGTTGTGGTAATATTTCACTTAGTATGTGGTATCATGTTTAAAATAACTCTTTAGGTTTTTTGTTTGTTTGTTTTTTGTTTTGGTTTTTCGACACAGGGTTTCTCTGTGTAGCCCTGGTTATCCTGAGACTCACACTGCCCGTCAACTCTTTAGTTTTAGGGGATCAAATGTGTCAGTCTCTCTCTTACAGTGTATGACTTTGAATCAGTCCAAGGAAAAGCTCACGCCTGTGTTAAAAATAATCTCTTATCGGGCAGTGGTGGCGCACACCTTTAATCCCAGCACTTGGGAGGCAGAGACAGGCGGATTTCTGAGTTCGAGGCCAGCCTGGTCTACCGAGTGAGTTCCAGGACAGCCAGGGCTACACAGAGAAACCCTGTCTCGAAAAACAAAAAAACAAAAAAAGAAACAAAACAAACAAACAAAAACAAAAAACCTCTTATATGATCTTTGCTCTTTTAGCATGATGAATTAAATCAATGTCTTTTCTTTGAACTAGATTATGGTTCCTAGGAGGAAAAACTCAACTCGGACCATGATATATTATTAACTTTGTTTGCTAGAAACAAACTTGAAATACCTTAACTAGGCTACTCTCTGAAACAATAAGTATAATCAATTTCTAATGTAGTTTGTATGAGTTTTGCATTAGGTTTTCCTGTCTGCTTTATACTAATCTCCTTAATTTGAAATCTTTCATTTCTTTGAGCATGATAATGCAGTCTTCCATCATAATAGAGGGGATGATTGACACCCTCACCCCCAATACCACAGAGAAGTGATCCTCTTCCTACAAACGCTAAGATACTTCAAGATCACTCATAAGTCAGGACGCCTTCAATACCAGCATTGGGGTGGCAGAGGCAGGCAGATTTTTGTGAGTTTGAGGACACTCTAGTCTACATAGCAAGTTCTGGACCAGCCAGTACTGTATAATGAGACCCTGCCTTTAAACAAATTATTTATTTATTTATTTATTTATTTAATTTATTTTTTTTTTAGTTTTTCGAGACAGGGTTTCTCTGTGTAGCCCTGGCTGTCCTGGAACTCAGTCTGTAGACCAGGCTGGCCTCGAACTCAGAAATCCACCTGCCTCTGCCTCCTAAGTGCTGGGATTAAAGGCGTGTGCCACCACTGCCCGGCAACAAATTATTTATAATGCTAAAAAAATATTAATACCGTGTAAATAGTTTTTATACTTTAATATTTTGGAATAATGAAAAAGTCTGTACAGGTACAACATAGACGTGTGTGTGTGTGTGTGTGTGTGTGTGTGCTTTCGAGTGCACATGCAAGTGTGTGTGTGCTCATGTATATAGAGGCCAGGGGACAATAATTTTGGCTGTTGTTCCTTTGTCACCATCTTGGGTTATTTTTGTTTTTTGTTTTGAAACTGGTGGTTATGAAAAAAAAACTTTTTTTTTTTTTTCACCAACCTCAGTGCCATAAATAAGCCACAGTTTGCCTCTGGCCACAAGTCAAAATAAACCATCCTGGCCTTTGTCATTGAGCTGACTGTATGTCATGCTAGGGAGTGACACAAGAGCTGGCTTTAACCTCGTGTAAGGGTCTGCCTCTTTTGTTGTGTTCCCTTGACACTGTCACCTGCTCAGGACACTGATAGCTAGTGTGTGGGCAGAAGGAAGAAGGAAGGAAGGCACATCAGTCTAGATTGCAGAAAACCACGTGCCCAGCCTGGACGGACAGGGAGAAGCTTCCAAGAGGGTGTCATATTGACTCAAAAGTAGCAGTGTCCTGTGGAAGGAAAGAGAAAGGCCAGAAGGAGGAGGCTTGTGTGCAGGGCAGAGCTTCCGAGAGTCTGCGAGCCTTAGAAATTGCTGTGAACAGGAACAGGAAAGGTGAGCTGGGTTTACAAGAAGTTACGTTTTTTTTTTTTACTCTTTTGAGACAATGTTTCTTTGTGTAGCCCTGGCTGTCCTGGAACTGGCTCTGTAGATTGTTTAGGCTGGCCTTGAACTCACAAAGATCCTCTTGCCTGTGCCTCCGGAGTGGGAGTGCTGGGATTAAAGGTGTGAGCCACCACGCCCAGTGAAGTTATCATTTTATTCCACACTTTCCAGAACATTGAGCCTGCTCAGCTCGATGCTTGTTTTCCTGTACACACGGGTGCACACATGCGTACACACGCACGTCCTGTCACCAAATAGCTGTAGGGTGTTAATGCGACGGGGACTACATTGTTGGAGATTCACTGCTTGAGCTGATGGCTAGGTCCTCTCCCTGTACTCTGGTTCTTTGTCTCAAGTGGGCAATGTTGGCAGCTCCAAGGCCAACATTTATTCACTTAGCTGCATTCTTAGCTCTGTTTGACTCTTGTTCATAAAGATTTTTGACAGGACATTTTACCATATGTTGGATATATTCAGAAACTAAAGTGTAGGATCTGGAGGGAAAAGGAAATCCCTTAGGAAATCGAGGTCTGCAAGAGGCGGGTGTGGGTTGGGGGGACAGGAATGACTGGGTCTCACTGTGTCAGAGCTCGAAGGACCTGGAGGCTCACCTGAGAGGCCTTCTGTCCATGAGTGATAGGGATCTAGGGCTCTCTGTGGACTGGATATCAGATTTTAAAATATGGGGGGCTGGGGTGAGGGAACTCATCCAGGACCATCGACGTCTATGGGCAGATACTGTAGCCATAGGGAGATATGAAAGACTTGCTAATCAAATTAAAGAAGTGTTGTGGAATGGAAAACCCACAGGAAAGTCTTCAAGATGAGAAGCTGGAGTGGTTGGCAAAAGGTGACAAGCCAGCTCCAGGCAGGAACCAGTGACCTTGCCTGGCCTGAATTAAGCCTCTGGGAGAATCTACCCCAGCTTTGCACTCTGGGTGCCTAGCAGCTACTTCCTTCCCAGCCCTGCCTGTCCCTACCCTACATACCCACCCACCCACCCACACCCTGTGCAATTTTTAGTGTGTTGCGTCTTCTCGGGGTTCAGTACTAAGATTGGTTTCTGGTCAGGGAGAAGCACGGCTACGTGGCAGAAGAGAGGCTGCTGCCCGCAGTCGGGCAACATAACAGATTCCTATCTCTAGGAAATGACTCCTTTCTCGGTTTGTATAAGCACTTACCCAGGAGACTTGTTTCAGACCCAGTAATAACCATGGTCCATTTGGTAGGATACTATGTAGTGTATAAAAGAGATTCCCCTGCACATCTGGCCCGTGTGATGTTTCAGAGAAGAAATAAGAATTTTAAAATAACTCAAGGGTTAGGGTGTAAGTCCCTGGAGAGGCTGCTCTCTCCTCTCCAGCGATGGCGTTTGACTTAGCTGCTCAGTGGAGATGGGACGTGAGACCTCGACCAGTGCAGAAGAGTGATTAACAGTGGGACTTCATGTTAATTAAGTTTATGAGTTAGAAATCAATGTTGAACCATAAAGTGAAACTACCTGGAACCGTATCTGTCTCTCTGTCTATGCAGCCGCTGAGGAATCAATTAGGGAGGCAACAGTTTACTTTGTGCTGGGCACTGTAACGGCTATTGCCGAGCAAATGAGAATTGGAATGAATATACAGCTTTGATCCAAAGGCTGTGCTAGGTCCACACAGTGCCCGGCTCCCTGGCAAGAAACACAGGCTCCGGGGGATGGCTTCAAATACAGTGCCAGGCAGTTTGAAGAAGCGGGGATCTCGTATCTGATTTTGAGGAGGATAACAGGGCCTAGATAAAAGAGTCAGTCTTTGCTGGGTGGTGGTGGCACACACCTTTAATCCCAGCACTTGGGAGGCAGGAGCAGGCGGATTTCGGAGTTCGAGGCCAGCCTGGTCTACAGAGTGAGTTCCAGGACAGCCAGGGCTACACAGAGAAACCCTGTCTCAAAAAAACCAAAAAAAAAAAAAAAAGTCAGTCTTTAAGTCATACTTTGGAGAAGTATTTTGAGTTGTATGAGTTTCATGAAAATCAATTTGTAAGAATGAGCAAGAAATGTTTAGTTAGCTTCTGGAGTATAAAATGGTTAACAGCCTACTTAAGCCAGGAAAGGTGGTCTGGCTCAG